TCTAGTTGAACTTTTGGTCAATGGTAAACCCCACCCGTCGTACCCCTGCTCTCAGGACCTGAGAATTTTGATTGTGGGGCATGTGATATTTCCTTGAGTATTAAAGAGAGGTTGTTTCTTTGGATGGAGCTGGCCAATGCCTGGCACTAGTATGATTTTAATGTTACTTTTAACTTGACAGCCAACATTGGAATGCTACTCGGGTTTGCTGCATGTGGGCATCTGGGGAATTTTGAAAGGACGACAACACAGATGGGGTGAGGATCACTGCTGGATCAGCTCATGGTAGTTAGGCACAGGCTGCTGCTCAGTGCTCCTGCAGTGATGGTCTAATGCTGGGATGATTACTTTCCAATAACCAGTAACATCTTCCTTTGAAGTAGTTACAACTCGAGCTCATAGAGAGTTTCCCCAACTCCAATTGACTTCACTTTTACTAAGGCTGCTTGGGTCCGTGCAAAAGTTGTCTTGATGTCCAAGATAGTGATCCTCGTTTCGACTCACTTCTATAATTTTGCTCACTTCACCTACATTTGGAGATTTGTAGATGTGTGGTATTTCTAGAAATCAAACTGACCATAAGCAGGCTATTAGTGACAGCCCTTTTCAATATTTTGCCAATGACTGAGCGTAGACTGATAGGGGTGACCACTGTTTTGGTTTGGTGCTCTGATATAACTGAGCAGTTTTCCCCATTGTAAAGTAGGTGGCTGATGTAATAATGCTTCTGGGTACGTTATACTAGCTGTATTACCAATACAATACCAATTTCTTCTCTTATCAAGCATTATAGTTGTAATGCCACTTGGTGTTTTTTGCTCTGGTGTGCTTTATTCAGGTAGTGGTAGAACAAGCAACAGTCTATTTTGGTAGTTTCCTTGATGAAACTTTCCACTTCTTGTTACTGTACTTACTGCTTCTCTTAAATGTGGCATTCCATTTGAGGTACAAATGTGCTATGTTTTCTATTTCCATGTTAGATGTACCTCTATTAGTATTTGGATGTAGATCATAGAGATAATTGTGGACTGAAGATAATGCGTTCAGGGTGCTTTGTCACTGGTGTTTGATCAAGGCAGTCTTCCACTTACTGCCTCAATCCTGCTGTGAACCTACCCTACTTTTCTGGATTGAACCTAATTACTACATTATACTACAGTATACTATGTCATTTATCATAGTAGATTATCTTATGTAGTGCCAGTCTGAATAAAAGGCAAAGTGCCCTCAAGATTTCAATAACCTGTTTCTCAAAAGGTTTGCCACAAGGATAGGAATCAGGTTGCATTAGCCACTAACTGGCTTTTGCCCTCTGTCAGAGCTGAGAGATGAATCTTCCTGTTGTTGCGCCAGCATGTACTGTTCACTCCTGTCTGTATCTGTGTTGGTGGTACTGCTGTGACAAAGCACAGCATCCCTATTTCTCTTTAACTAAATGTGGCTGCGTGGGCGAAGGTTCAATAGCTGTTCTCTACTTTTGCAGGGTTTGTGTTAGCTGGTGCACCAGTTTCAGAGTGAGGATTTGAGAGTCCCTGTCCGCGCTTTGTTCCTATCGCTACTGCTTTTGTATAGTATGATGGTGTAAATTCTAACCCGATAGTTCCTAAAATTCTGTGGGCAACATGAGGTGGGATTATATCTGGAGCACTGTGTCTCACAGTGTGAATGAATGGGGTAGCTTCAGTGATGGGGAGGCATCTGTGTAATTCGGTGGAATTGTAAACTCTTTTTCTAATTGTTTCCGAGCAATGGGATAAGGACACGATTGTGCCTATTCCAATAGGATAAGGAATACTTCCATCAAAGATTATGACAGTTAACACCGAAGATCCATAATTCCCATATGCACACCTGCAGCTGAATTTTCAGTCTGGATTTGAAAACCCACTGCGAGGTTTATTTCTGGATCCCTCTCCTACACCGTGTCAGTATCACTAATGCACTGCTATTTTAAAAAGCAAAATCCCTAATTGGGCTGGAAGCAAGATTGGTGCCATATGGGTAGCAATGAGTGCTGCCTGGGGATAGGAACTGGCTGTGGAGGCAGATGGGCAACCTTGAATGTGATTATCATTATCTTGCAAATTGGAGTTTCCAAGAAAGTAGAGGTTTGGCAGCCTGATAATGTAGCCAAGTGGCCAAACCGTCAATCACGAGGATCTATGCTCTAGCAATGACAACTTTGTGCCACATTTTAACCAGCTTAACTAAAATGAAAAGTTTTTAATTCAACAGCAACATCACATTGTTTCCTGCCTCCAATCAGTGTGCACCCATTGGTTGCAGACTAATGTCTCTTCATGCTTGCTGTTTTGCAATTCTCCTCCTCGTCATCTCCAGGATTTTGATAAGCTCTTCCACAAGCTAAATGAATAATTAATTGGAGCCAAGTGGGTTGTGGTTCCCCCCCATTCTAACCAACCCCCACTGTGATAATTTCAGCTCGTTCCACAGGCATCAGAAGGTTGATGCCCAATGTGTGAATAATATTTTTCTAAGCACTCGCACCCAAACTTTCCACATAGACATTGAAAATCTAGCACCTAGACACTCTCTTTTTCTCTTTTTCTCCCTGCATGCTTTTCACTCAGTACTCTTTTGCACTAATTTGCTCAAATCTGATTGTTAATATTCTGATACTTTTAGTCCTTTCATGCTTTAAACAGAGTTCCCGTATCATCTCATTCTTACTGGCTTTATGTCCCTCAGTACATTGAGTTAAAAATCCTCACCCTTCATCGCCTTTCCATGCCTTTGTAGCTTACAGATGTTTGGTGCATCTGATGAATACATTAATCCTCCTTTTCTGATTTTTGATATGATCCCAGTTGTTGGTAATACTGGACATGTCAGATTTTAGAGTGAAATCTGGATTAATCGATCTTAAGTTTTACTTCTGAAATTTGCCTACTGCAATGGTTAGTCACTGAGCACGTTGACAAGAGCTTGCCAATGTACTTTTAACAAAAGAACGTCAAAGTTTATTACACACAAAAGGAGAAAAATGAGCTATATAGGAATTGATAGTCTTATTATAAATATCAAAAATAAAAAATTCATCCATTTGTCCTCAAGAGAAATCTGAGCTTAGAGATATCTGAATTCCACTGAAGGCTTTCCCCGTTTCCACTTTAATGTTCCTTGTTCAGTGGGCACGGCTATAATTTTTCTTTTAACTTCTTGCTGAACTTCTGAATTCATTTAATGTGTTTAGTTAATGTTTCTTCGGAGATCCTAAGCAGACTGATGACACAGCTCACAACATGCATTCCTTAAACCCATGCATTCAACAGCCTTGTAGAATATCTTCTGTCTGACACCTTAAAAGCATTCTACTTCTGGAGATCTTCACTTTGAAATAACTCCACAGAAGCCAGGGTCCCATCACCAAGTTACCCATTATTTACATGTGGAGATTTCTTGATATCAATCCAGCTCCCTCACAGCCAGCTCTTGGAGTGAACAGGATGTCTGACACTCCTGTTCTGTTCCCCGAAGTGAGGAGATTCTGAATCCCTGATTATATATTTTCTTGGTTCCCCTACACTAATGCCATCCAGCAGTAGTGCTTATCTTCCCCAGCACCTTTGTTGTGCATGTGCAGGTGTGCGATCCTGTAAAAAAAACACCACGTGTGCAAATAACTTTAATTAAACATACCGCCACCAGGAAAATCACCCATGTGACCAAAGAGTCAGTGTCAAACAGAGCCCCTGTAGGCGGACACTCCTGTTCTTATCTGTCAGCCAGGGCTCTGTGATTGGGACTATTAATCTGGTCCAATCAGGGAGCTCCTTCTGTGAGGTCCACCTGGCTGACCTCATTACAATCACTGTGCACTTACTAACTTCAAAGCCACTAAGGACTTTTTTTCTTCTGCCCTGATTGTTTTGGAAACTGCTGAACTGCATTGCTTATGTTATGGACCTTTTTCTGACTGACTGACCAGTTTCTCTCTCTAAAAGAAATCTACATGCTTATTCACCATTTTTCTGTCTTTCAAAAAGAAACATTTTATTCAGTCTGGTTCCCTTTGTCATTGCACACCTTATTATTAAACAACAGCCCTTCTACTCTTGTTCTGGAAACATTGTACAATTTCTATCAGGGCTTTTTGAAAGCAAATTTAAACACAAGTAATTTCCCTGACACCCCTTCTCCATCTGTCAAACTCAAAACAAAAACCAAAGCCATGTTCTTTGCTTCCTGACCGACACAACATACATACCAAACTTAAAAATCTTACATGGTTCTATGCACTTTAGAAGTCAAATTTCAAGCAATAATGCAATGTACAACGAACCTTCATCACAGCTTCTCTGCAGTATTCCCCTCCTGAGTTACCCACTGTTGGCACAATCTTCAGGTGCCTCAGGGTATCCCTCCATGAACCTCTATGCCACTGCACCACTTAAAGCCTTCCTCCCTAGATGTGGCTTAGCGCCTGCACCTTTATTTCTCTTTCCCACAACCCTGCCTACACTCACCCGCGTAAAACTAGGGGGAGCATTTTTTTTGCATTGAGGATGCTCTATGACTGTGTGTTGCTGTTGATTATAGTTAATATCATTTTTCCATGTTTAAAAAAAATCTAATTTACAAGCTCTGAAATTAATCAAAAAAGTTAAAAGTAGCCAATCAAACAACTATCAATGGTGTGCTTCTATTAAGCATCCAGCCAAGATGTAGAGACTTGTCTTGTGGGAGGACACTTTCCCCTTTAAGAATCTCTGCAGCAAGCGAGCAGGTGCTGAGACTGCCGCTCCCTTATTCTTATTACTGGCTGACAGCAGTGCACTAGAGGGAGCTGTTGCTTTCACAGTCCCCCACAAGAATATTATGAATCTTTGTAACAATAAGCTGTATCACAATTGTTCATAATTCTGTAATTTGAAGATTAATATTCATACCTGGGGTTCGATGAATACGCCACCTTGGCTCTGTTATATCAGGATATCCCGAATTACTAATCATGTGCTGTTTCTGTTTGTGTTATGCAGCACAGCACCATGAAAGCCAGCAGCAGAAATAAAGACCACTCAGCAGATGGCGATGGAACTGGAAAAAGACCAAAGCGGAAGTGTCTTCAGTGGCATCCTCTGCTTGCCAAAAAGATGCTGGACTTCTCTGAGGAGGAGGAGGAGGATGAGGAAGATGAAGATATTGACAAGGTAGAAGTGGGAATTGGTATTGTAGACTACATAATGCTATTTTTAAACTTGGGAACTGATTTGCTTACTCCTGTTCCTATGTTGATTGACAGTAGTTTAAGGAATTTAACAATGCTTGCAGGCACACAAGCTATGAATACTTAAAGAAGTCATAACTCAGTTAAGCAGAAAAAAAAGATATTTGTTAATCTTTTTCTGCATTATCCATTAGCCACTTTTAACATTATCGGCTATTCAGTTTTTCTCTGCCTATTCTAAGTGATTCATTTTCTGTGTCCATTCCTATCTCTATCAACGCAACCGTTTAATCTCCTTAGCCTCTCCGGTTTCCTCCAATCATCCCTGGACTTCTCCTGCTTTGACAGACAAACAATTGCTCTGTGATATCTTCTACAAACAGGGGTCAGCATTTGCTTGTATATTGAACAGCCTGCTGCCATGACCATCATTGATTCCAAAGTTGTTCCAGTTCTTTCATGACTGTGACTCTGACAAAAGGTCTTGAATGATTTGTAATTTTCTCTGCTTTAACATTGTCAAACCAAAGCCATGCTTTTTTACTTTTCCCATCTCCAGCACATGCAAGCCTCTCGGACAGTTTCCATCGGCCTCCCTAGTTGTTCACATGGGCAGCCTTCACTTTTTGACCCTATTAGTTAATCAGGCTGCTTTCATCAGTGTAGGATCATAATTTTTTATAGATAAGAAGATCATTTACACCGTTTATTTCTAGCAGAATATTCTACCTTCCCTTCAGTTCTTTGTAGTTAATAAAGTCCCATTAGCTGCCATCATGGGTTTAAATCTGTGACTCCAGAGTATTAGCCTGGGTCCCGAGGTTAACAATTCAGTGACACCACCATCTCTCCCTAAGTTCATAACTTAGATGTCTGCCATGTTTACTGAGCTCCAGAAGGAGCTTACGCAAGGAACTTTGACAAGGATCATGCACACACGCACGCACACCTTTTCCTTGATCCAAATTCTAACAAAACTCCTCTTTCTTTGTTATCTGAAATGAGAACGCTGGGATCTGGCTATCTTTTAATCACACACCTATCATCAGATTGTTGAACTGACTGTTCATGAATCCAAATAGACCATTGTTTTAGCACCTCCAATCCAAACCTTCAAAGGAATGTTGATGTAGCTCTAGCCATCTTGAGACCAATTCATTCACTTTTCTAATGCCACCACACCCTTTTATGTCAAGCTGTAGAGCCTAATCTTAGCAGATCTTGTATCCAGATATGTTACAGGCACAGTTAGGGAACAAGCTATTTGCTTAACCATTAACTACTTAAATTGGGGATCCATGCTTTCATAACTCCTGGCCTACCTCCTGAACTACTGTCACAGGTGAAGCCTATGGAGCAGCCAGGTCCAACATTGGCTTTCAAAATCAACATTTAATAGTGTACATGTTCTTCCTATATAACACTGAAGTTACATAATTTTGTAATAGAATGCATGACACCATTTCATGCCAATTTAGAGGAAAGGTTAGATGTCAATCTGTGTTCTGCAAATGGGATCAAAGCTGAAACAGGCTTACAGACATGGACTAGCTGATCTAAATATGCTATTGTCCTTGTTCTTGCAATCAGGGTCTATATGTTTCAATTTGGTTGGCTAAGGATTATATTCCAACTCATTTGCATCAATAGAGCAGGTTTGATTAAATTAGAAGCCAAATTCGTGCTTAAAGCTTATATTATTTTAAGTAATTAGGCAAATGTATCGACTGTTGTTATTGTACGCCACAATATATAGTAATATATGGAAGCTTGCTGAGTAATCACATTTTACAATGCTACTTCAAACAATCATCAGTATATTGGATTTTCTGTAAGTACACTTATGCATGAGTTCACAGGAGAAAAAATATGGAAAATAAGGAAATCAATTAATATATCTAAAATAATAAAATCTTCTAAACGTGAGCTAATGTCAGTTCAGCATGAGGATTGCTCTTTAAAAGGAGACCAGTGTTACTTTATGTAACGTGCAACCCTTCAAATCAAGTTTCAATATGAAACTGAAGATTTTTTTTTAACAGTAAAATCAATTTTGTTTTCTTTATGAAATATATTTTCATGCAACTTTACGTTTTTACTGCAGGAAACTTTGCTGAACACTGAGGGTCTTGAACATGAGGCAGATGAAACAGAAGATGATGACTCCTCTGAACAGCGAGCTCGCAGGCCGATGAATGCATTTCTTTTGTTCTGCAAACGCCATCGTTCTCTGGTTCGTCAGCAACATCCTCGCCTAGACAACCGTGGTGCAACCAAAATACTGGCTGACTGGTGGTCTGTTTTAGATCCAAAGGAGAAACAAAAGTACACTGACCTGGCAAAGGAGGTGAGGCAGCATAGCTGTATTTCAGTGTTAACTGTGTTATAGTTGTCCGTGAAATTAGCTCCATCTCTTGCATAAAGCAGGTGATCTTTGAATTAAAGCACTCAAATATTAAAGTCGAAAGTAAATTGTACCTTGACAAAAACAAATTACTGGAGAGAAAGCAGATTTAACATTTCAAGTCGAATGATCATTCTTCAAATCTGCTTCATTCTGCAGCATCTGCAGTCCTTTGTTTTATAGTACTTTGACTGCATTTATATCATTGATAATTGTTATTTATAGGATTTTTCTGTAGGTTTCTAAATATTTAAATTATGGAAACAATGAAGTAAATATTTAACATTAGTGAAATTAATATTCGAGAATTTGTCTACAAGTTTCCATCTGCGTAGGTCTTTTCCACATCTATTGGAAATTCTTATAACTTGCCAGCCATTTTTAAACAAAAAACTCGCACTCTGGAAAGAGATCTAATGGACTTTTATCTATAATATATCTCTATCAGGTTCTTGAGTCGATTTGTAGCTCGGGTTGTGGATGCTGTGGTTGGTTTGCTCGCCGAGCTGGTTCGTTGGTTCGCAGACATTTCATTACCCTGCTGGGTAACATCATCAGCGCGGCCTCCGATGAAGCACTGTTGTGTTTTCCCGCCTGGTATTTAAACTCTGGGGTCCATAGGATTTGATTACCTCGTTTCCGGTTTTCCTTTGAAGTGGTGTATGTATAGGGTCTAGTTCTATGTGTTTGTTGATGGCCTTCTTGGTGGAGAACCAGGCCTGTAGGAATTCCCATGCTGGTCTCTGTTTGGCCTGTCCTAGGGCCCTGGTGTTGTCCCAGTTGAACTGGTGGTTCTCCTTATCTGTGTGAATGGAGATAAGTGAGTGTTGGTTGTGTCTTTTTGTTGCTAGTTGGTGGTTGTGTACACTCGTGGCCAATTTTCTTCCCATCTGTCCAATATAATGTTTATCGCAGTCGTTGCTTGGAATTTTGTATATTACATTGGTTCTGTCCATAGTGGGTAAGGGATCTTTGGTTTGAGTTAGCAGTTGGCGTGGGTTTGTGTGCTACTCTGATTCCCAATGGTCATCAGAGTCTCGTGGTCAGTTCGGGTATGTTCTTGATGTATGGTAGCGTGATGAGTGTGTTAGGGCGTGCAGTATCTTCCTGTTGTTGTTCGTGCGATAAGCATCGTTGGATCCAGTTGTTCGGGTATCCGTTGTCCTTAAATACTTGGTGGAGGTACTCTTCTTCGTTTTGGCATAGTTCTGGGTTGCTACAGTGCGTTGTCGCTCATTTAAATAGTATTTTCACGCAACTTCATTTGTGGGTGTTGGAGTGGTTACTGTTGAAATTCAGTACTTGGTCAGTGTGTGTGGCTTTTCTGTGTACCTTCGTCAGGAATTCTCCGTTGGCCCTGTGTTCTACCATGACATCCAGGAATGGGAGTTGTTCGTTCGTTTCCTCTTCCCTGGTGAATTTTATGCCGGTGAGAATGTTGTTTATTAGTTGGTGTGTCTCCTCTAGTTTGGTCCGTTTGATGACAAAAGTATCGTCCACGAATCAGATCCATAGTTTGGGTTGGATTTGCAGAAGGGCCATGCTTTTGAGACTCGAAATGGCCCTTCCACAAATCCAACCCAAACTATGGATCCGATACGTGGGCGACACTTGCGTCATCATCAAACGGACTGAACTGGAGGAGACACACCAACTAATAAACAACATTCTCACCAGCATCAAATTCACCAGGGAAGAGGAGAAGAACAAACCACTCCCATTCCTCGATGTCATGGTAGAACGCAGGGCCAACGGGGAATTCCTGATGAAGGTACACAGAAAAGCCACACACACTGACCAAGTACTGAATTTCAACAGTAACCACTCCAACACCCACAAATGAAGTTGCGTGAAAACACTATTTAAACGAGCGACAAAGCACTGTAGCAACCCGGAATATGCCAAAACGAAGAAGGGTACCTCCACCAAGTAGTTAAGGACAACGGATACCCGAACAACTGGATCCACGATACTGCACGCCCTAACACACTCATCACGCTACCATACATTAAGAACATATCCGAACTGACCACAAGATTCCTACAACCATTGGGCATCAGAGTAGCACGTCAACCCCACACCAGCTGCTAACTCGAACCAAAAACCCCTTACCCACAATGGACAGAACGAACATAATATACAAAATTCCATGCAAGGCCCGCAACAAACATTACATTGGACAGACAGGAAGCAAATTGGCCACGAGAGTACATGAACACCAACTAGCAACAAAAAGACACTACCAATACTCACTCATCCCCATTCACTCAGATAAGGAAAACCACCAGGTCGATTGGAACAAAACCAGGATCCTAGGACAGTCCAAAGAGAGACAAACACAGGAATTCCTAGAGGGCTGGTTCTCCACCAAGAAGGCCATCAACAAACACATAGAACTAGGCCTTATATATACACCACTGCGAAGGAAAACTGGAAATGAGGTAATCAAATCCAGTGGACCCCAGAGTTTAACTACCAGGCGGGAAAACACAACAGCGCTTCATCGGAGGCTGCACTGATGATGTTACCCAGCAGAGTAATGAAATATCTGTGAACGAGCAAACCAACCACAGTATATCTCTATCAGTAATAGATGCATTCTGTAGGAATTCTCTTCACAGTGTTACTGGCAAGTATTAGTTTCATTTACACATCTGGATTGAGGGATTGATATATCTCTAACCACTTTGAAATATGGACCAGCATTTGCAGTGTAAGAAACATCATTATTAAAGCATAAATTCGACAACGACTTCTGGTGATAGGTGTGGTAATCAGAAGTTGCTGGTTTGAAATGTTCTGCTGCTCAAGCTTTGTGTAGCAGTGTCTTGTGGAGAGGCTCAATACATTAAAATATATGAAGTTGGTGTAGTGCCCACTTGACATCCACTACATTTGCCAAGAAATGAGAGCTTGTCTATTGTAATGTAAGTGAAGTTTTAATTTGTGTAATTAGTCTGAATTACAGCAGAATATCATCTCTGGCAATACATATTAATTTCAAAAGTATGAAGTATCAATCCTCCAGATTTTAATAATTTTTAAAAAACTAACGAGTTTATTACTTAACTTTCTAAAGTTCTTTCTGTTGCTTTTATTTCTCTTGTTATGCTTTATTCCCCTTTCTTCATCTCGTTTTCCGATTTTAAGTTGACTGAAGAATTCTAAGTTTGACTTCATGGTTCAGACCTTCATGCTCAGTAAAGGTTCTTCAGTCTGACTGGTTAAGGAGTTGCTTGCCGTTTTACATAGGTTTGGGATCCTCTGTAAAGGGTAACATGCTCTTTTGTGTTATTAATTGCTGCAACTTCCACAATAAAAGCCTTTCGAATTTCAGTAGGTAAGTGAAATGGATGTTGAGCGCTGTCCTTTCAGCACTGCTGAATCTGGACCAAATCGAAAATGAATCAAAGAGTAAATATTTTACATCTCCCATACGTAACTGTCTTGGTTTATTGAAGTAACTAGATACTATGATTTAGATTATATAGCTCTGTGTAATGACAGATGTGCTCTGCTGAACGTTATACTAAGAATTCATAAATCCGCCACCGCAAATGTAGTATATAAAAACAGTCATGACATGATACTCTCAATTAGCACTTCTCAAAAGTGATTTTAAGTGTCATAAGAATATTACTCATTCACTTCTGATGTGCAAGTTGTCTAGTTGATAGAACATTTAACCCTCCCTGCAATGAAGACACCGGATGGGCAGACAGTTAAAACTGCGCAGGTTCATTTCCAGCCTCGTATGGCAGTATGAATGGTGGCTGATTCAAATCCTTGTTGCTAATGGGCTTTTGCATTTTAATGTACCCTCTTGGCAGTTAGCAATGCCATTTACTCAAAGCTCGTAGGATCTTTTTTGCAATATGCATCAAGATTCGATGGCACCATTGGGATTCAATTGCTAGATTTAACTGAGCGGAATGCGTAAGAAGCCACAGTAAGGTCCTTCCAGGCTGACCTGGAAAGAAAATGATCAGGGTTATGAGAGTAAGCTGTTTCAGAAAAAAACCTGTGCCATATATTGTAAAATATATTTCATTGCTATAGACATTATAATATACACACCAGTGAGTAAGGTTGTGTAATTGACATGCATGAAGGTGACTTGATCCTAGAGACATCTTCTTTTCAATTTTTATTTTCAGCTTCTTAAAATTATGTCCAAGGTCTCAAAGGGCTGTTTAGAAATATTCTCTCATTATCCATGTAATGATAAAGATGCAGGTGTTTATCTTTGTTATTTTCCTATTGAGAGAGGGTTTTTCTGCTCCCGATGTGCTGAATATATATATTCTAACACTGCTCGCTGCACGTACCTAGTTTTACCTAGACAAATGAAGTTTTTTGAGCTACTGATTTTAATCAGTGGTATCCTATGACTAATGACGAGTGCAAAGACTATCAAATGAAGACAGCTTTTTACCCTTTCCTTTTGGTTTTCGGCATCCCTCCAGACATGCCAATTATCTGGCCTACACCAAATATGTAACAATATTACTACAGGATTTGTCGTGTCATTGTTACATTAACCCTACTTGCCCCTTTAATACACTTACCATTTGGCAATAAAAACTACCTTGAAAATTTATAGTTTTAGTTATCAGCTGGTCCATCTGTTGGGAACATGTTACTTATTTGAATGCAGTGAAATTAACAACAGTGTTAAAAGTAGTGAACGGCACTCCATTTGCTTGTGCAAATTCAAGTGATAAACCTAAATTTCAGTAGCACCGGCAAGTTGTGGTTGCGAGTGGTATCAATATGTGATCTTAGTTACAGTGTTTGTATAATTTATATTGCCCAATGCTATTTATAGATTCATGGAATGATACAACATAAAAGAAGGCCATTCAACTTGTTGTTCCTATGCAGGCTGTTTGGAAGCTCCTTCCAATTAATATCAGTTCCCTTCCTCATTCCCCACAAACCTG